GAGTTTCAGGTTAGGAAGATGAAAAATCCAGGAGATGGATGATGCTGAGAGTTGCACAACAATGTGAATGAACTTCGTGCCACTGAACTGTACAGTTAAATATGGTTAAAGTAATATGCTTTATATCATATGACTTCTACCCCCCCAAAATAAATTTAAAGAAGAAGAATATCAAGGATCATGAGCATCCTAAAAGCAGAAATGGGGACAAATTTGTCTTTGTTAATGAAAGAGAAAGGCTTCCCTGATAGCTTCCCTGGTGGTTCAGATGGTAAAGAATCCAGCTGCAATGCAGGAGACTTGGGTTTGATCCCTGGGTTGGGAAGATCCCTTGGAAGAGGGCATGGCAACCCACTCCAGTATTCTGGCCTGGAGAATCCCATGGATTGTATAGTCCATGGGGTTGCAAAGAGTCGGACAAGACTGAACGACTTTCACTTTTAATCACAAGAGAAAAAAGATGTAGTTTGCTTAAAAGTATGTTCTACTGTCCTTTAATCTTGAGGAGACCAATACTTAAGAGGAATACAAATTATCACTGATATTTGTAGCTGGGTAAAGAATTTTTAAAATAAGCTAACTCATTTTGTCTTCCACACAAAATATATTCAAGGCAAAAAGAAAATCATAAAATACAAATGTGCCTTAGGAATAACCAGAATCGGGGACTGGCCTGATGGCACAGTGGATAAGAGTCTGCCTGGTAATGCAGGGGCACGGGTTTGATCCACACGCTGCAAGCGAGTTGAGCCCGCGAGAGTGCTCCCCACTCACCGCAACTAGAGAAAGCCTGTGCGCAGCAACAAACACCCAGAGCGGCCAAAAATAAATATACGATAAATAAATTAAAAAAAAACCCATCATCCCCTGTAGCCCCATCATGCTCAAGGATAATCACTGTTTACTGGGACTCTGGGCCCCTGAACCTAGTGTTCTACCAGCGGCAGCAGGATTATGATAAAGCAGGCAAGAGAAAAACATGTTACATCCTGCAAAGAGGCACACAGCCCCTGTGATGTTTTCATATCATCCTTAACCAGTCACTGAAAACAGAAACTTTCTGAGCATCTAAGAAATGCTTGTCACAAAAAAAGTGAACTCTTGAATCCAAAGCTTTCTACCCATCATAAACATTTGTGTCTGAGAAAAGAAAAAAAAAAAAAATCCCTGGGGATATCCTACTGCTCTGGCAGAATTCCACTGTGATCAGTTAAATGCAAATAAATTGAGAACATCTGGTCTACATTTATTTTAAAGCCCACAAGGGTTTTAAATACAAAGAATGTTTGGCAAAATGTAGTCTTGAGTCTATTGAATGAGAATTTTTTAAAAGGCCAAAAGGTATAGCAGAGCGTGAGACAGAGTAGAGTGACCTTTGTAAATCCAGGGAAGTTTGTCCAAGTATTTCCTTCTGGTTTCTCTCTGCATTCCCAACACTTTAGCAACGGCATGTGCTCCCAGCTCAAATCTGCGAATTTATGTATGTTGGGGTTTCTGTACCTTGAGATCTGACCAGGTAACCAGGTAGGCACTATGGGTGAATGGAAGACCAAATTTATTTTAATACATATATAAACATAGGTATGTGTGTATATACATACATTGTTTAGTCGCTAAGTCATGTCCAACTCTTTTGTGACCCCATAGCCACCAAGTAAGCCTGGATATACACATATACACACACAAATATAAATTATACATATATGTAGACCCATACGTAAACATATCATTTCAGGATTCTTCAAAATCTTTAATAAGCTAATACATGTTTCGACTCTCCGGAGCCTCCAGCATTCTGGTTTTTCTTAGGCTGCTGCGTGGGACACACTTGGGCTTCCCTGGGGGCTCAGATGGTGAAGAATCTGCCTGCAATGCAGGAAGACCCGGGTTCAATCCCTGGGTCAGGAAGATCCCCTGGAGGAGGGAATGGCAACCCACTCCAGTATTCTTGCCTGGAGAATTCCACAGATAGAGGGGCCCGGCGGGCAACAGTCCATGGGGTCTCAAAGAGTCAGACACGACTGAGCAACTGACACACACACGTGGACACACCTGGGAGAAATGCTGGACTCCCAGATCCACGTGGGATACAGATGTCTGGGATGCAGGTGAGTCTCACCACCTGCAATCCTACTCCTTTCATCCAAGGAGCCGTGCAACAGACAAGTATTAAACACCTGCTGTGTGCTTCACCCAGCATGACACGCTTCCGTTTGCACACTGGACCGAGCATTCTGATCCCACGCTAAAACCAACGCCTTTCCTGTGCATAAAACAAAACCAGAACGCAGACCCATGACTCGACAGCAGCTTGTGCTGGCGAATGTTTCTGTATTTTCTCTTCCCTGGGTTGCCGTGGACTTCCAGTGCAGAAGCCTGGTTTTTTATTTCTTGGCCCCTCTGACTGTTTATCAGCTCAGGTAAAACTAGTGGCCTTACAGAGCTGCTCTGACCGCTAAAGACAACAAGGTGTGCCTGTCATCTAGCGGAAGCAGACCCTGGGGAGACAGGGTGTTACTGGGGGATCTGGCCTGTTCCCACCTGTGCCATCTGCCCTGGCAAGTTGAACCCCAAAGCAGACATCCACACAGCTCTCCAGCTCTGCCCTCAGCCTGTGATTTAACCTAGGTGAGGGGATTTGGGGGATGCTTGCCTTCCTCCTCCTAATTATCCCCTTGGTGAGAAAATGACAAGAGAGGGGTAGGCTGATCACAGAGTCTCTCCTTCCACAATTACAGTGGGAATCAGGGCCCGCCCGGAGATGCCGCCAACCCGCTACAGAACAGCTGCCCTGGGGGGCAAAGAGGGGGCAAGGCTTACTGCGGGGGGTTCAGAGCAACAGAGCCGAGGTAAGCCAGCCGGGCCCACCCAGGGCCACCGCAATCCCACTCCACACAGGAGAGGGACCACGAGCATCAGCTTCGCCCCATCCCATTCCCCACTTGTTCACCTCACCCCCTCACCCCAAAGCCACTGTCCACCCCCGACACCTGCTCCGTAGTCTGGCGGCTGACCGCCAGGAGCTCTGCGCCCTTTGGTTTCTGATGAGGTCTGCCGATGGGAGCCCCAGTACAAGTTCGGGAGGGTTATTTCCCTCCCCCTCCCCACTTCCCCGAGCCCCTGGCAGGGGTGCTATTCTTGCAACCTGTGGGGCAGCCCCTGTCTCGTGACTCTAAGCTCTTGCTGCTGCTGCAAGCAGGTCGTTGCATTAAACTCCCTTCAGGTGAACCCCTTTGAGGGCACCATCCACTTCCTGCCAGGACCCCGACCAAAAGACAGGTGGGGGGAGGCCTTCTCTACAAAAAGGCAGTTACTGAACACAATTATAAGCTTTGGGAACCAATGAGAAACGTTCAGTTCAGCCTAGGACTCTGGTCTTCATCATCTGAACCTCTAGGAATGAAAGCGATTTTCACTTAAGAGGAGACTGAAAAAAAATCAACCTGAGTCCGGCGATCTTGACTCTTCCTGCAGTGAGGAGCCCACCTCTACTTCTTTTAAACAACCAGAACCCTGGGGCAGGAGAGGGAGGAAATTATCCTCGATGGGCCTTTATTCTGTGTCAGGCATTGTGTAACTGTTATACATAAACTGTCCCACTTGGACTGAGTAGTAAGTTGGCAGAGGTAAGAACTATCTTATGGCCATTTTTCAGATGGGGAGACTGAGTCCTAAAGCTATTAAGAATCTTGCCCAAGGTCACAACAGCCAAAGGAGGACATGAACCCGAGCAGTCTGACTCTGTGTGCTTTTAGCAAATACACTGCATGCCTCCTCCTCCAAGGGAAGGCTGGGCCGGGAGATTGAGAGCAAGGAGAGGCGAAGGGAGCCCAGCATGGCCTCAGCTTCTGACGTCCCGTCCACGAGATGCTCCCATCCATGAGACGCTCCTATCCATGAAATGCTCCCCATGGGGGAGATGGGTGCATATTTCAGCCGCAGACCAAGAACGTCGGTCACAGAACATCAACCAGAACTGAGAGAGTGTTGGAGCAAACAAAACACAATAAAGAACTGTGGCTTCTTCAGAAAGAGACATCATAAACCAGGATTCCTTACAATATTATCAAATACCAAACCAAATCCTGTCTGAACCTTTTAGTCTGCAAGAGGGATCACTCTCTCCACTTGTAGAAACCCCCAGGAGCACACAGCATGAGGACAAATGTTACCCAAAATTTGAAAACGGATCCAGAGACAAATTCCCAAAGGAGAAGGAGAAACAAATATTGTTGGACACGATGGGTAAATTCATCCACAGAGAAACCATCAGTAACTCTATCCCTTTCAAAGGAAGGCAATCCCTGGGGCCAAATGGCCAAAACCCTAAGCACAGGCAGTGACCTTCCAAGGCTGTTGTAAACCCAAGCCACAATACAGAGCTTAGGGACAGGCCAGCAACCTCTATCTGCAAAGTCAGCAAGCATCCAGCTTACACACCTACTGGAAATGCCATAAATGAGAACATGGGATGTTTCAGACTGGTGCACAGCTAACTCAATATTCAGGTGCAAAAGAATAAACAGAACAACAAAATAATATGCAGCCTGGAGACAGTGGCTGCAGCCCGATTCTCATTCCGCTTCACATGACGTTGACTTTTTTCTCCGCTTAAATCTAACCTCCCTTTGCAGAACAGGGCGGGTGCGTAGGTGGAAGGACGAAAGCTTCAGTCTTGCGCACATCACACACCGTTCAGTTACCCAAGGAGAAAACAAGCCGGCAGGGAACTGTGCTTGTGCAGAACAGTCAGAAAACAGCCCCTTAAGACAGCATGGCAAACGGTTTCCCAGGTGTAAGAACCTGCCAACCAGCCAGCCAGCCTGTGTGCATGTGTTCTTCCCTAACGCAATTCTGAAAGACCCAGGATTCTCGCTTTCACCACTAGATGACTACGCCTGACTTCATTCTGCAAACAAAGCTGCCTGCAGAGATTCGATGAGTGGCAAGCAGTCACCAAAGTGACCTGCAGAGCCCTCTGGCCGGGGGCTCCGTCTTACCTGTCGAGTCGGCCCCGGAAGCCAGGCCACCCTGCTCCCCAGCGCTGACGAGCTGCAGGTCTGTGTACGAGGGGCCGAAACTAGGACTGCTGGTGTCTTCAGAATGTGTGGTCCAGCTGCTCTCGGAGGGCAGAGGGCATCTCCTCAGGGAGTCGAAGGAAGGGCAGGTCCAGCAGGGCATGGTCAGTGATGTGGCTGGGGACGAACCGAAAGCAATCAGAGTAAACAGCTGCACTCTGCTTATCTTTAGCACTTGTCTGATTTTGATGTTGCTCAGATCCTATGACATCTCAACAACCATACAAGGCAAGGAAGGACAGGGAGTGTCACTCCTGACACAGACAGGGAACACTAATTGACCGAGACCCCACCAGTGAGTCAGGATCAAAACCGGTGCTTTAACTAAGGTCTCAGGAGCCTCAAATCAAAGATTAGCTCTTCAAAGAATATGTGCGATTTTAGGCTCTCCTTGCATTCCTTCATCTTCTTTAAAATTTGTCTTGGAGTATAGTTGCTTCACAATGTTGTGTTGGGTTCTGCTACACAGCAGAATGAATCGGCCACACATACACATGTATCCCCCCCGCTTTTGGATTTCTCTCTCATTTAGGTCACCGCAGCGCATTAGGTAGAGTTCCTTGTGCTATCCAGTATGTTCCCCTGGGATGTCTATTTCATACATTAGGCTCGACTTAGATTTCTAACCTAGGTTGCAGCTTCATTCAGATACAAAGTGCACGCAGTTTCACCCTTCCCCTTACATTTCCCTCCATTTTTAGTGGTGCACCAACAATCTCAAGAAAACTCCCCAACCCGCACTGCAAAATTAGAGCTAGACTGGGTTCAGGGTCAGGAACTTGAATATATACGTATTCACCTAGGAATGAGATATGTGTCTGCTTGCCTAGAGTTTGGCTGTAACTGGAGTCTGCAGTCTGTTACAAATACAAATTGAGATCTGCCAGGGCTGCTGACCTGCTGGACAACGAAAAACACCTTTCATGGGGAAGTGCACAGGATCCGGCTTTGTCTCTGTAACCCTGCACACCGAATTCAGCAAAAACCATTTTGCAGAGTCCCTTTTTTGAGTTTCCTGATGTTCCTGACTTGTTTTCGCTCAATCGCCTGTCACATGGCTCCTCCATGGTGTCTTCTGAGAGGCTCATTGCAAGTTTACTGACAAATACTGAAAGCAAGTGCTGAAAAAACTAAGGACGGGGAAGGAAGAATTAAAAAGAAAGAAACTCAGCTTAATGTCTTTGACATTCACTGACACTGTTGAACGTATCAACGCTTCACTCCTTATTTCTGAGCAGTCTTTCATGGTGTGGATGTACCACAGGTAGTTGCACCATTCATCGGCCAAGGACACCTGGTTTGTTTCCAGTCCTTGGCTCTTATAAATAAAGGTGCTATGAACATTCATGTACAGACTTTTGTATGTACATAAGTTTAAATTTCACCGGGATAAACACCCAAGAGTACAATTTCTTAGCTATATGGTAACTGCATGTTTAGTTTTATAAAAACCTACCAAACAGTTTTCCAAAGATGCTGGACCATTTTACATTCCCATCAGCATACATGAATGTCTCCTTATTTTCTTAACAGAGTCTTTGCAAAGCAAAAGTTTTAAAAGTTTTACAAGTCTTTAACCAGCAAGAAAATAATATAGCATCTATAAAAGCAACACAAAATACAAAGCGTATGTAGTAATAAATTTAACAAAAGATGGGCAAAGCCCCAGAGGAGATACTTGTAAAATTAAGAGACCATAGAGAAGACCTACATAAATGGAGAGATATTCTATATTCACAGATTGAAAGAACGGACAATGAAAAGATGTTTGTTGTTGTTGTTTTGTTGCTAAGTCATGACCAACTCTGTATGACCCAATGGACTGCAGTCCCCCAGGCTCCTCTGTCCATGGAGTTTTCCAGGCAAGAATACTGGAGTGGGTTGCCATTTATTTCTCCTGGGAATCTTCACCACCCAGGGACTGAATCCATGTCTCCTGCATTGGCAGGTGGATTCTTTACCACTGAGCCATCAGGGAAGCCCTGGTAAAGATGCTAATTCTCCCTAAATTGGATTATAGTTTTGTACTCTCAATCAAAATCCTAGCATGGCTTTTTTTCCCTTCTAGGAAGCAGAATCACACATTTTAGATATGAATGAAATCAAAATTTTAATAATATAAATGCACTTGTAAATATACATTAAAATAAAATGACAGAAATAAGAAAAATATGCTGCTATAAGGCAAAAACGAAATTAGTCTCCTACTCTACACTATACAGAAAAATCAGTTGTAAGTGGGCTGAATGTCAAAGTGTGAAAGGCTATATAGATGTTCTTTAAAGGCATATATTGGGCTGGCCAAAAAGATCCATTACAGCTTATGGAAAATCCAAACGAACATTTTGGCCAACCAAACAGCTTAATGTGGTCATGATTTCGGGGGTAGTGAAAGATTTTCTTTACTGAGACCAAGAAAGCACCAAGCATAAAAGAAAAATAAACAAATTTCATACCACTAAAATGAAGAACTTCTTTTCATGAAAAGTCACCATAAAGAGTAAAAGGGGGCTTCCCCAGAGACTCAGAAGGTAAAGAATCTGCCTGCGACGCAGGAGACTTGGGTTCGATGCCTGGGTCAGGAAGATCCCCTGGAGAAGGAAATAGCAACCCACCCCAGTATTCTTGCCTGGAGAATCTCATGGACAGAGGAACCTGCCAGGCTACAGTCCATGAGGTCGCAAAACAGCCGAACACCACTGAGCGACTAAACAAACACAAAGAGTAAAAAGACTACCCACGGGGTAGGAGATGAGAATCAGCCACACATCGTGTCTACAGGGAACTCCCAGAAATCAGCAAGGAAAAGGAAATGCCATCAAAAAATACTCTCAAAGAGGCATTTTATGAAAAGAAAAAACTGAATGGAAGAAGTAGTAAAGAAAAGCGGGGAAGAAAAAAAGCACTCAACCTCATTCGTAATCTAGGAAATGCAGATTAAAACCACATGAGCTATCGTTGCTCTTCACCCTTCCCTTCCTCCCTGGGACAAAAATAGTGAAACGCGACCATCCCCGTACAGTCCAGTGGAGCCAAGGCAGCTTTTCTGTGTGGCTGGTAGGAAAGTCAGCTGGAAGCCCCGCAGAAAACGGGCGGCTGTTAAAGTCATCTGACCGAGTGCAAGATAAACACGCCCGCGCGCAGCAGCTCCCTCAGACATTTTTAAACAAGAGAATCACTTGCACTTGCACGTGTTCACTAGGAGAGGACTGCTCATTGAAAAGACAAAACACACGCTCACAGAAACACGTTCCTAATTGCCCCAAAGTAGGATAACTCCAACATCCATCACACAGCACGGGTGAATGAACTGTGGAATATCACTAAGATGGAATGGGCTTCCCTGGTGGCTCAGCTGGCAAAGAAGCCACCCACAACGCGGGAGACCTGGGTTGGGAAGAGTCCCTGGAGGAGGGCGTGGCAACCCGCTCCAGTATTCTGGACAGGAGAATTCCAAGGACTGCATAGTCCACGGGGTCGCAAAGAGTCAGGCACAACTGAAAGGCTTCCACTTTCACTGAGATGGAATACACTGCAAAAAACACTATGCCTACAGGTAATGAAACCGAAAAACCTCATAAATAAGGTGTAAGAGGAGTCAGCCACAGGGTAACACATGCAGTATTATTCCACTTACATAAGGTTCACACACAGATGAAATGCAATTCCATCATTTGAGATGCACGTGCAGGAAAGCTGTTAAAAGTAGAGCAGTTATCTTAAAACCCAGGAAGAGGATGACAGAGGGAAGTGAATGTCTAGAAAAAGGATGCCATGATCAGTGGGGAAACAGAGGGCTTCTGAGTGATGACAGTGTTCTATTTATTAAACTGGGTGGTGGGTAGTACTGTCATCCTTTGTAATTTAATACACACTTTAAATATGATCCTTTGTGTTTATTCAGTAGTTAATAAAGCTTATTAAAGCCACATATCAAAAGACTATTCAAGAAAGGAATTTATTTTAACTATTTGTATTTTCGCATTAGCTCTTCCATATTTATTTATTTAGCTGCACCAGGTCTTCGTTGTGGCATGCGGGATCTTTAGTTAGAGTGTTTGAACTCTTAGTTGTGGCATGCGGGATCTTTAGTTAGAGCGTTTGAACTCTTAGTTGTGGCATATGGGATCTACTCCCCTGACTAGGGATCAAACCCATCCCCCCTGCATTGGGAGTGCGGAGTCTTAGCCACTGGACCACTAGGGAAGTCCCCAGATACAGCTTCTTTACGTCTGTTAGGTAAAACTCTCAAATTTCCCTCCAAAGAAAAACTAAGAATAATGAAGCTGAAAAAAAAAAAAAGAATAATGAAGCTGGGAGAAGACTCTTGAGAGTCCCCTGGACTGTAAGGAGATCAAACCAGTCAATCCTAAAGGAAATCAACCCTGAATATTCATTGAAAGGACTGATGTTAAAGCCAAAGCTCCAATCCTTTGACCACCTGATGCAAAGAGCCGACACAGTGGAAAAGATTGAGGGCTGGAGGAGAAGAGGCAACAGAGAAGACGAGACGGTTAGATAGCATCACCAACTCAATGGACATAGATCTGAGCAAACTCCAGGAGACGGTGGAGGACAGAGGAGCCTGGCGTGCTACAGTCCGTGGGGTCACGAAGAGTCAGACACAACTAAGCGACTGAACAACAAAAACCAAAGTGGCTGGGAGAGGCGATGTCTTTTTACATCCTACCATCTGTTCTCATTTGGTCTCATACACTTTATTTATCAGCTTAGCAAATTTGAATATATCATGGTATTTAGTTTCTGGATTGAATATCCTTAGGCCACAAGATCAGTTGAACAGTGAGAGAAAGTTCTCAGTCTGGAGTTGACTCTTCTCCCAGAGGAAGACCAGACCTCTGACAGCTAGGCTGGTGAGCAGCAGGTTGCTCACGCTGCTTCACATCTGATCCGCAAGGAATACAGAGAAACAAAGACAGAAATCTGCCTTCTCTGTTTTTCTATGAGGTTGTACGTAAGGACTCTGGATCCAGACTGCCTGCTGCACATTCAGCCCTGTAGCCTGGGGCAAGTTACTCAATACATCTGTTCTTCTGTGTTTTCACCTGTAAAATGGAACAGAAAACAGTGCCCCCCACATAAACGGATTAGGCTAA